CTATATCTTCTCGTGATGTAGGTTCAGGTTCTCAGCATCCAGATCACACTAGGATCAAATCCTGATCTTCAGTTCAGCAGCATCAGTGGTGAGTCCTCATTCCTCGAGGACTAGTGACATGTTTATCTTTATCGCTATTAGTCTGTAGTTTCAGTTTTGCTAGATCTAGTAGGGGCATATCCCAACATTTCTAGTCAGTTTAAAGGCTTATTTCAAACATAGTTAAATTCAGCTTAGTATTGAGTTAATATTTTCTTTGTATTAAACTCATCAGATTTCATTCATTTCAGATTTAGTATATGGGTATTACCCATCATTTCAGATTTATTTATGATTATAGCTTCCGCACAATTTCTATTATTCAGTTTATCTTTAGTATACTCATGATCATGCCAGCAGAGTTAGCTTGGGATCACTTGTGGTCCTAGGTCCCGTGTCCGCGTCTCGGGGCGTGACACAATTAGTTAGCTTCAAGTTATGTGGTTCATCTAAATCATATATAGCAAGAGTACAATTTGGAAAAATGAGCTTCATGATCTAAGAAACACTTCTCAACCTGTGCAGTGCAAGTATTGACATTTTTTAAAGGAGTTCAACACATAAATTCCAGGACATTTTTGAAAGGAGTTCAACACATAAATTCCAGGTAACAAACTGTAGACGAGTAATCCATAGGAGATCATAGATATGTATGCAGAGCTATCACTCCAGAAACCATTGTTGGGAGCTTTAATACTTTTTTCTTCACATAATAGCCATTTTCTAAGACCTTCTCTAATAAGCATCTTGCTTTGTGCAAATGAAGTCACTAAATGCATATAACTGCTTACCTTCTGTAGCTACTAGCATATAAAAACCACCTGCTACTATATCTGGCAAGTTCGACCTGGACCAGGACTGGCACACTTGGTCTCTGGCCCAGGGAGATGGTCTGGTTCACGAACCGAATCCTTTCTTAAGAGGTCGATCTGGACCAGTAAATTCTAAAGAGTTGTGGACCTGACACCAACTCCTGATTCCTAACCACTATGTGATCTGGTAGTGGACCAATCCGAGCTTCTTCTTTTTAACTTCATTCTACTTTTCTTCTTTATATGATTTTTAACATTATATTTATTTAGTATTAACTAAAATTTGAAATCGAAAAAGGATAATATTGAAGAAAAAAATCGTAAATACGCATGTCATATTATTGAGGAAACAATTCAATTTTTTACTCTCAAACTTGAGTTAATTATAGCACCTTAAGAATCTCTTTCGCCTCCTTTTCTGACTTTCCAGAAAACACCAGCTTCCACAAACAAGTATTGTATTGATTGCTTATATGACCTGTAAAAAGAACCAATATCCTTTAGCATCAGATTTTAAGAACTCAACTCCTCCAGTAACAATTAATTGGAAATATTCAATACGAGAACTCACATTCTGTTTGTCTCCATAGAAGATATGCCTGAAGAACCTCCATTGATGCACAGCTGATAACACGTGAATGGAATGATGGAGGCACACTTAACTCTTTTTGAGAAAAGAACTCTTTCCATTTGGTTACATATGTAGATGAGAAGAAAGACACAATAATGGATAGTATTTTGCT